TTATTTATTAACTTATATGAACTGAGCATTAATTGATCTTAACAGCTTTCTGCTAGACACTGGGACATGCCGAGAAGCACCTTACCCCCAAGGAATGTACAGTTTAGATGGAGGGATATCAAGAAGCTCACCATTAAGTGCTAGATGAGTGGAAAATGAGTACTCTAGTCATTCAAAAAATAGATGAATGGATTTTAGTAGGCAGGTGGAGAGGTATGGTTATATAGGTAAGGCAAATGGTATCAGGGCACAAAGGCAGAAATTAATAAATAGGTGAGCTGATAAAAATAAACAGGCATGCTGATATTCACCAATAAAAAAGGGCCATGCTGGGGAGTAGTTGCAAGTTAAGTCAGAAAAAACAGTGATTCAGGTTGCCCAGCTAGGCAGAGTATGACTTAGTCCTGCAGGCAACTGAAGGGAATTAAAGGCTTTTAAGAAAAGTGGATTAGGGAAGATTAATTTGTTGGTGGAATGTAGAAGAGTTTAGGAGAGGTTGGTGGCAATAGGAGGCTATTAAGCATGAGTTGATGATGGCATCCACCAGGATTTTTTGTTTGTTTGTTTTTTGAAACAGTCTCACTCTGTCACTCTGGGTTGACTGCCATGGCATCATAGCTCACAGAAACCTCAAACTCTTGGACCCAAGTGATCACCTTGCCTCAGCCTCCTACGTCGCCGAGACTACAGGCACCCACCACAACAACCAGCTAGGTTTTCTACTTTTGTAGTAGGAACGGGGTCTCCCTGTTTCTCTGGCTAGTCTTAAAACTCCTGAACTTAGGGGATCCACTCACCTTGACCTCCCGGAGTGCTAGGATTATGGGAGTGAGCCTCCTTGCTGGGCCACCAAGATGACTGATCTGCCAACATTAAGGAAGGATGGAGCAGGTGAAAGACTCAGACTAGACGGTTGGGGAGAGTATATAAAGTTCCAAGTCTGAGCAAGTTGGAAAATGTTCATTTCACTAAGAGAGAGAAAAGGGAGTGGCCTGGGGGAAGACATGGATGCTTGCTGTATTGGGGTTGTTGGCAGGACATGTGGACCATAATGTCCAAAATAGGCCATCCTCCACACATAAACTGACAGAGCTTCACTTTGTATGACTCTGTTCCGAGGTGGGAATGGGTGGGGCCATTAGAAGGCTGTGTATACTCAGCTTTGTCCTTTTTAAACAAGAAGACAGCATCTGCTCTCTAGCATTTTCAATCCTCAGAGGGCCTGTGACTAGTCAGGAAATATAATTTTAATAGGATTAACTGAAAGATGAGCAAATGTCAGGTGGTGGTTTGGTAATATGTCATGGCTGCTAACTTTGACATGCTCAGTGCAACATTATTCATGGCTTCTGTGATGGCTAAGAGGGATAACACTTAGGAAATTAGATCCTTGAATTTTTTGTCCTCGTCTTATATATCATGGGTATGATGAAGCATGTTACCTTGGACAAACCATTTAACCTCTCTGTGCCTTGGCTTCCTGTTTATAAGATAGGAAGCTTGATGCGGCAGCATTCACATTTTTCAAAGCTACAGATAAAAAGCACTGTAAGATTCTCCCTCCTACCCAGTGACTGAGTCAGTCATTTGGAAAGGTCAGCCTTTTCATTTGATTATTTTGATTTGCTACTCCATAAATCAGTTAATTGGAATTTTTCTAAAATGCTTCTACCAGTCCAGAATTGAAAGATGTAATCTCTAACTGCCCAGTCTACCTTAGAGGTCTGCCAGTCCTGCTGGCCCTTTTTCACTCAGTGGCTGTCGCCATACCACTACCACCATTAGGCTCTGGGATCAACCCAGACATTTCGGAGGGAAGTTAGAGTTCTTTATTAACAATCCAGGACTTCAACATGAGGCAATCAGGCTCAGTGTGAAATTCAGTCCACTTCTTGTTATTATGCTCCTGCTTTGCTTGTAAGTCTCACTCTGTCCCCTACATCCAGCCTTTTGGATACTTTTTTTTTTTTTTTGTGAGACATAGTCTCAAGCTGTTGCCCTGAGTGCTGTAACGTCACAGATGACAGCAACCTCAAACTCTTGGACTTAAGTGATTCTCTTGCTTCAGCCTACCAAGTAGCTGGGACTGCAGGTGCCTGCACAATGCTATTTTTTCCTTATAGTTGTCATTGTTGTTTTAGCAGGCCTGTGCCGGGTTCAAATCCACTACCCCTGGTGTATATGGCTGTAACCACTGTGCTACAGGCGCTGCCTGGATACTTGTGTTATTCTCCTGAGCCCCCAAGACTTGCCCAGTCTATCAGCTCAAGGACCTAGATTCTCCTTGTTTTCTTTGGGAATGCATAGTGATTGAAGTCCAGACCTAGAAGACCTCAGCATTGACACTGGGACCTTGATATAAGCAACACATTTTCTCTTCTCAATACTTGCCATGACTTCCCAATTTTTGCCTGCTCTTAGATTTCCCAAGGCTGTGTTCCAGCTGTCCATTGGCTCGCATGGCTTGCATTCTGTGCGTTGAACAAGCCTGCTGCCGGCTGCTTTCCTGGCCTGTTGCCGGTGCCATATCCTCCAGATACTGCCTTCTGGCTGAACACTCATCATGCCAGCTGGGTCGGCCTCCAATTCCATGGATGTATCTGATTCTAGTCTCCATTTCTCCCTGCCCACCTCCCGCTCATTACGGTTAATCCTTTTATAGTAAACCACAGAAGACATTTGCTGGTGTGGAAACTGATGTGGTATTGGAATTTTATCCTTGTTTACATCTTTCTTTGTGTTGGAAAGCTTGGGATCACTTCCAAAACCTCCTCAGAGAGTTTTCCTGTCTCCTTTAAGAGAAACAAAAGAAAACTGGAGAATACCTTGTGTTTAAGACTGAACTTCGAAGCCATTATTTTCATTGTAATAGTATATTATTTTAATCATAATTTAGTGTTCAGATATACAAATATGTTTCAAAGTATATAATTAATCAGTTCAAACTCTTACCTTAATGGATAAGGTGGAGAGTGCTGAGAAATAAACTTCTAAGGTTTAGTTCATGCAGTTAGGATTATTGCTGCTTTCAGAATTCTTCTAAA